CCGTAGCATACTAATTTAAGATTTCCAGAAAACCAGGGGTTATTTTTAGTAGTACTTGTCTTCCGAAAGGCAGTTCTTTCTAAGAAGACTTTAAACATGGGTTGAAAACTGGCATGTAGAAATTCACATGTACAATTCAGGATATAACTGGTTTCTATGAAGTTAAACTTGAGGTAAAATATTAAGAAAGCTGTGAAAATTGCAAAATTTGGTTGAATAGATAGGGATTTTGAATTGGTTGTCTGACACCAACATGTAAATGTAATATGAATAATAACACTGATTTGTTCTTGACAGACACGATGAGACAGATTTTTAACGTACTAGTTCACAAGGTAACAGTTCGCAGTAAGACATGTCACCCACCCGGGCCTACCAGTCTTTGTTTGTACTCCATAATACCGCTTGCTTAGTGGAGGAACAGTGAATACAAATTTTGACGTCTTTGGTTTGACCCGGCCGGGGTTCGAACCCACGGCCGCCCGCACTAGAGGCAAACACACTACCACGAGATCTCCGAGGCAGTCGGAAGAATATATATCATACAAAAAAAAACTAAAGTGCAATACACAATACAATTTCATAGAATTCTCACTTTTACTAAAGCCAGCAAAAAGTATCTAACCTATTGATATCATTGGAAACTTCACTTAAGTATCGACGGCCGAATTCAGGGTAGATTTCATGCACCAACGCTCTCTGCACATTTAGAACTCTTGCAGCAATTATTTGAGGGGTCTGTATATGGCCATCTGTTGCAAGGCTAAATTCCTGTCTTATCCAATATACCCTCATTTTCCAGTGGCATTCCAAGTTTCACGTCTAACCTCAAAGTCGACCTTCTATTTCTGTTATTGCAGGACCTGCCTATTGTATCTATACTTAATTAATGTGTTCTCGTCATGAACATACATGAAATATTTGCCACAGGACGTAAAGTAAACAACAATGAAAAAAATCATAAATAATTCCATGTAAACGGTATACAAGAAGACAAGATCTTGTACAATACTAGAATGTAATATTTCCATGTATATCATTCGATAATTATGGAAACTTAAACGACCTTTTTTCAGTTATCTCTTTGCAAACCACTACATGACTGAACATTAATATATATATTTTTTTTAGATTTTTTTCTATTGTTCTTGGATCTGCTGTTTTATTACGGTCTATCATTTATGATTATGTCAGTCAATTATAGAACTAAGACATTATATATAAAATAGAATATATTTTTAAGGGGATTGCTTAATTAAGACATGTAAAAGGAATGACGGATGACTAAAATGAGTGTTTATTTTAATGTTATATTGTATTTCAATTTAAGAATGGTGGTCAATCTTGCCAAAATTTCTCATCTATACAGGTTTTGAATGAGCCACTCAAACCTACATTACTTGATTCTAAATATATTACATGTAGGCCTTTTCAATACGATTTTATTCATTGAAGTTTTACAAAGGTTACATTGTGCTTTTATCGACTTTGAAAAAGCGTTTGACTCTTTACAGCGAAATTTGCTTCTGTTCAAATTATTGCAGAATGAAGTAAATGGGAAATTTTTTCGTGTTATTCAGAATATGTATGATTTTGCCAAATCTCGTATTATACATGAGGGCAAAAAATCCGATTTCTTCCCTTGTGAGATGGGGGTACGGCAAGGGGAAAACCTTTCACCTGCTTTGTTTTCTATATTTTTAAATGATCTTCAAACTTTTTTTGAACAAAAAAATATAACTGGCTTAAAATCTATATCACAAGATATCGAAAATGAGCTGTCAGTATTTTTGAAATTATTTCTACTTTTATATGCAGATGATACTGTTTTATTAGCAGAAAATAGCACTGATCTACAATACATCTTAAATACCTTTTACGAATATTGTGAAGAATGGAAAATGAAAATAAATACAAATAAAACTAAAGTTTTGATCTTTTCGAGTGGCAGAATGCCAGCAAATCTCAAGTTCACAGTAAATTGCAATGATATTGAAATTGTAAAAGAATACAAATATTTAGGTATTTTATTTTCTAGAAGTGGATCCTTTTTATCAAATAAAAAATATTTAAAAGAGCAAGCCACAAAAGCTATGTATAGTGTTTTAAAAAAAGGTAGACAAAACAATTTGTCAATAGAATGTCAACTTGATTTATTTGACAAAATGGTTTTACCAATACTGTTATATGGATCAGAAATATCGGGTTTTGAAAATATAGATATACTTGAACGTGTACATTTACAATTTTGTAAAATGATTTTACATTTAAAACAGTCTACTCCAAATTTCATTGTGTATGCAGAGCTTGGCAGATACCCCATTACCGTGTCTGTAAAATTGCGAATGGTTAATTTCTGGAGTAGACTTCTTAATGGAAAAGAAAGTAAAATTTGTGTTATATTATACAAACTTGTATTTTTAAATTATAATGATAACGGTTTAGAAATTAAGTGGATATCATATGTTAAAAATATTTTTGATAATTGTGGTATGTCCAATATATGGAATGCACAGTTTGTTGATAAATGGGTGACAAAATGTATTGAGCAAAAACTCAAAGACCAGTTCCAACAAGAATGCTTTGCTTTTGTTGCAGACTCGCCTAAAACTATATGTTATCGTATTTTTAAAAAGAATTTTCAATTTGAAAAATATTTTTCTTCTTTGCCTTACAAATTTATTCATATATTTTGCAAATATAGATGTGGAAGTCACCACTTGCCCATTGAGTCTGGAAGGTGGCAGGGTATACCGAGAGAAGACAGAATCTGCCGTCTCTGTGACTCAAACGACATTGGTGACGAGTATCATTACATCATGAATTGTGGAACATTTAATTTGGAAAGAAAGAAATTTTTACCGAAATACTGTTTGTCAAACCCTAATATCTATAAATTTGATCAACTGTTTAATTCATCAAATATTGTAATATTAGAAAAACTATGTAAATTTATCAAAGTTATAAATGTGAAAGTCAGTCCTCCAAGTTAATTTTATTGTATTGTTCGCACATGCATGCAAAAATTGTACTTTATAGTTATATTCATGTATGTTCTCTATAACTATGTAATTGTAGTTTTATGAGAAATAAAGTATTCGTATATTCGTATTCGTACAGGCAGAGTTTTGAATTAAAAAAACAAACAAACAAACAAAACTTATTCATTAATCAATCGGACTGGACAGAGAACACTAATTGCTTTGCATTTGCATTTCACGTAGTGTAGGCAATGAACATAATTAAAACCAAAATGAACATTTATCCGAATATTCTGAAGGACACAATGCATCTAGGTTTGTTTGATTAGAAGTTGTGTAAAATGCTGTTTAAATAATTAATTGTTGGAGGAGATTTACTAACTGTTTTCGTATGGTCTGATCTTTATAATACTTCAAGATCGTCCTGAACATGCATGAATAAATGAAAATCCCTGCTTGAAATCATTGGCTTATTTTATGTGAGAACCGCATGTATCAAACCTTTTTTTACGGAAATTACCGAAAATAGCTAACTATTTATTATTATTGAAATGTCATTCATTTTGTTTAGTCCGATTCACCAATAAGAATGAAATTTAATAATTTGAAAAAAGGAAATCATTTCTGAATCATTATCATATATATGAGACTGCAATCCAACAATACAAGCTAAATGATGAGTTAAGCCTTCTTCAACTGATTTTTATAGTTTGTTCTAATATTGTACTGTTACACCACTTACCAAGGTTAGGAGGAGTGTTAGGCGCCTGCTAACATGTTTTACCTCGCCACATTCTGTATGTGCCTGTCCCAAGTCAGGAGCCAGTAATGTTTGTTTCTGTGTATCATATTTGTTTTGCGTTCATTATTTTGTACATAAATTAGGCCGTTAGTTTTCTCGTGAGAATTGTTTTACATTTGTCCTTTCGGGGCCTTCGATAGCTGACTATGCGGTATGGTTTTTGCTCATTGTTGAAGGCCGTACGGTAACTAAAAACGCGGTAATTTCTGTGTAATTTGGTCTCTTTTAGAGAGTTGTCTCATTGGCAATCCTGTCAAATCTTCGTATTTTCATATAAAACAGTGTTTATTGTCTTAATATCTTGATGTTTGATGCTCCATACTCTAGACCAAACAAACTATTTGCATTGACAAGCATAACAGTATTGTGAACGTTTGAAGTGCATGAATCATTATTTTGAGTTATTATTTTCAATCAAATATAGAAACACTGGGACAAGCGAAGCCATAAAAAATTTTGCCAAATACCAACAAAACTTACAAAACCGTCTTAGAGGACAAAACGTATCCAGAGTTTATCCTGAGGGAGAAAAAAAATCCTATAGGACAAAATTTATCCTAAGGAAGAACAAAATATCATACAGGACAAAATTTATCCTAAGGGAGAGAAAAATATCCTGTAGGAGAAAAAATATTCTATGGGAGAAAATAAATCCCACAGGACAAAATAAATCCTTCAGGAAAACAAATAATCCTAAGGGACATTTGTTTCCGAGAAAAAGTCTTTCATGATAATCCTATAGGATAAAAAAAATCCAATAGGTTTTAACATTATTTTAAATCCTGAAGGATATTTATTTTATCCCGTAGGAGATAAATTCTCCTATAGGATAAACAAATCCTAAGGGATTTAAACATCCCATAGGAGATCATAAATATCCCATGGGATTATGACTTTATCCTATAGGATTTCCTTAAATCCTGTAGGATTTTTTAAAATCCTATGGGAGAAAATTAATATCCTACAGAATTTTGTCACTGTTTTCACTCGTATTGCCGAACCAGGCGAGCTATACCAATAAACTTTTTTATTGTTTTACCTATCCCCAGAGGTAAATTATTGCTAAGTTTGATGATTCTACCGTTAAAAATGTGGTTCCAGTTTGCACTCCTGAGAAGTGCAAATTAATCCAAGAGACTGTTATAAGTATTTTAGTTACTAGTAAATTGGTGACCTATAGTTTCGCTGAAATCTTTTTATTACAAATGTATACCTACAAATAGTCCCCCTGCTTTCATGCCAAAACCACTAACACAACTTGGTATCTGGTTTGCTGGGACATCTGTATCCTGTGATATGGTTGAAGGTTTAACCTTAAAGAAAGTACAATGTGTGCATTGATCGTCATATATTTGCAACAATTCATAACATCAACAATTTTTGACAGGTGTTTTGATTGGTTTTTACATCGCGATGACAGTGAGGGCATTCCGATGTATTGTTGCCACAGAGATTTCTACTTACGTAACTTTCGTTTTTGACTGGTAACCGATCTATAAATACGCGGACATTATCGAGTGCAAAATAACATTCCTTATCGCTTGTTATATATTCATTTTTTCAATGAATACTCATAAAAATATTTTTTTTAGAACACAAATTAATAATATGAAAATGTTTTGTCGTTAGAAATATATATATATATAAGTTTACAATCATTAATATATATGCACACGTACAGAAAAATTGTGTTAACGCATGCGGAAGAATATCTCAAGAACGTTTTGCGGGAAAATATGAATGCCTACTCAAATCCAATCTATTTATAGAAAAATCGAATTATTACAGAAGAGTGTCCACCATGCACTTGCACTGCACTATTATTAGAATAGTAGAATAGAATGCTATACAAATGGATGAAATTTATATATACATGTAACTGTTATATACAAATATTAATATACATGATATATAACAACAAACCCGGCAGAGTATACTGATTTGTATCACTACAATGTAATAGTTATTACGGTGAGGTTGAATTCCCTGTTATTTATTCATCATCCACGTACGAACTTGTCTCATCATTATTTATACACATCTCACAATAAACTTAACTGGCAGCAATACAGGTGAGACAAAAAACATAGAGAAAGCAACATGAATAGTTAAAAAATATAGAGAAAATAACATCTTATATTTTTTTTTATAAAACAGTGACATGATTCTCTTTAAACTTTTTTTTCACATTTCAAAAGTTAACTGGTACAAATTGTATGATTAATATGATTTACAAATCAGCACCTAGAATAAAGTTCTACTAATGCTTTCAATTTGATGGGCTTTTTTGACGAAACTTGTTTACGTTCTTATTTTCGATCGATGAAAAGTGTTAAGAAAACTTTCTACAAATGTCCATTAGGTTGAAAAAGTTACCGTAGGAACCAACGCATATATTAACATTCTGTATATTGATAACATGAATTCTCTCCTGCAACGTTGATACTTTGGGTTCAAACAGGTCCACGCAAAGAATACTTAGTTGTCTTTTGATTTTTTTAATTGTTAGGTAGTTGGCTTATTGGGCTAATTCATGTCATGTAAGACAATACAAGTAGTTGACGTGTATTCCTTATTGCATACCTCATAGTATTCCAAAAATCCATTCTCCGTTAGTTTAAACCATTTGTCTTCGAAACCTCTCATTATTGAAACTTTTTTCTTTAGTATACCTTCCATATCTAATCTAAAAAGAATATAAACTAAAGATTTATAATAAGCGGTAGGAAACAATGCAACATTTTGTATATTTATGTTGAAAGATAACAGAATGAGATTTTAACTCAGCGCCAATATAAAAAAACACTGTTGTAATCAGCTATAATTTTGTATTATTAAATGATATGAGCAAAGCAGCCCTATTACGGATAAATCAGCATGTGCAATACTGATGACCTCGCCAATTATTCTTCCCATTTTACTTTATATTTGCTAGATAAATTAATTGATTAAGCATAGATCAAGTACTTGGACAAGAAATCATAAATTTCATCAATATGGACAAAAATGCATCGTGACTGCGAAATGATAGTTAAAATATGAATTTATGTACCTGCATCACTGTAAGTTTCTTAGATAGATAAGACAAGCTGCTTTCTATACAAACAGAAATGCAGTTGTGAACCTAAATGCCTGTTTGGTTTGAAAGATCAGATAGTATTAATGCATGATTTTTCCTAAAAAGTTTTTATATAACTTAAAGATGAAGAAAATCCTACAACATGCAAAAAAAAAAAAACACTAAAAAAAAAATAACACTGGATGTTCCATTCTGAGGTACTGTTTAGGAAATTAGAGGTAGCTTCCTAGCTTAAGTCGAAATGTAATTGCGAAAACAGTTTTTGTTTTAATGAAGTTTAATGAAATGAATTATGATTATTTGTTTATTTTTCGCCAGTTTGAAAATAGTTGAAAACCCTCAGCTGTATATATTCTTATTTGTTAATCTCGAATTAAAACGGTTTTGGAAAACCAATCACACTGGACTATATGTTTTGGTCATTAGCTATCATGTTCAAGATATGTTTGATCTCAATTTATTTATACCACAGGCAACAAACTCCAATTAGGCTTTTAGAGTAGAAACAGTTTGAAACATTAACTTTCAACTTGAATCAGTTTTATGGAAAGCCTCAGCTGTCATATATTAGAGATTTACAAAACGTTATGCTGAAGCTTAAAATGTAAAGTTAAGACAGCGTGATGTTGAATTGAGTCACCAAAATGCTAACTCTAAATTACAATATGCAAAGTTGAATTTGCGCAATGTTGACTTGCAATGACAAGTGCTTTAGTCGTGATAGTATAATGATAAGTCACGATGTTGTGATGATATGCCAAACACACGTGACGTTGGGTTTAAAGTACATGATGTGAAGTTGACGTTGCATGATGTTAGCTTGCAGATTGATACTGCTCAGTCATCCACATCGACAGCTATGATAACAAATAAAATGAATAGCTAAAATGTATGGTGCTGCCTTGTTATTAATAAATGTCGAGCTGAGATAGTACGATGTTATATCATTGTGATATTACGATTGGTCTATCATGCAATCTGTTGATTTAAAACACCATGATGCACAGTTGAAAGTATATGATGTTAAGTTAAGATAACACGATGCTACACCACTATATTGAAACGAAATGTTTACCATACAATTTGTTGACTTAAAACAACACGATGCAACGTGTTGAGCTAAGATGCTCTCTTGAAATTACAGGACGTACAGTTGAAATTTTGTAATGCTAAGCTACGATAGCACGATGTTATATCATTATAATGTCACAGTAGGCTTATTATACAATTTGCTCATTTAAAACTACACAACGTACAGTTAAAAGTACGTGATGTTAAGCTAAGATAGCACGTTGTTATATCATTATAATGTCACGATAGGCTTACCACACGATATGCTCGTTTAGAACTACACGACGTACAGTTGAAAGTACGTGATGTTGAGCTATGATAGCAATATCTTATATCATAATAATATCACGATAGGCTTGCCATACAATATGCTCATTTAAAACTACACGACGCACAGTTGAAAGTGCGTGTTGTTGAGCTAAGATAGCACGATGTTATATCATTATAATGTCACGATAGGCTTATTATACAATTTGCTCATCTAAAATTACACCACGTACAGCTGAAAGTACGTGGTGTTAAGCTAAGATAGCACGTTGTTATATCATTAGAATGTCACGATAGGCTTACCACACGATATGCTCATTTAAAACTACATGATTTTCAGTTGAAACTAGGTGATGTTAAGCTAAGATAGCATGTTGCTATATCATGTGAATGTCACGATAGGCTTATCATACAATATGCTCATTTAAAACTACACAACGTACAGTTGAAAGTATGTGATGTTGAGCTATGATAGCACGATGTTATATCATAATAATATCACGATAGGCTTGCCATACAATATGCTCATTCAAAACTACACGACGTACAGTTGAAAGTACGTGTTGTTGAGCTAAGATAGCACGATGTTATATCATTATGACGTCACGAGAGGCTTATCATACAATGTGTTGACTTGAAACTACACGATGTAAATTTGAAGTAGTTTGGTCTTGACTTGAAACAGTAAAATGTTAAGTTATAAAAACAGAACGTAAAGTCAAAATAAAACAATGATAGGATGACATATACTTGTGCAGAATTGAAGATTTTTGGTGTTGACTTCGAATATAGTACAAATATTAGATCGTTTTATGTTAAATTGAAAGACAATAATGATGCGTAAAACATTACAGAATTATGTGAATTGAAACTGCAATTCTATGGAAAAGAATGAGGGACAAATACCAAGGATTTTTTCTTCTTCATTTGCAAGTTCGGAGGCAAAATGATTCAATAAGCAAAAGAATTACCCATCGCTATATATTACACTTGAATATAGTTTTGCCGTATATTTTACATGTTTTGTTTGGATTTTTTTTTATGATTAAAAACCAGACTTTTTTTTATGAACAATATTTAAGAAAATATTTATCTATGTTGTGTGTTAATATATACAACATAATATTGTGCTTATAAGACTTATGAATGTGAGGGTCAAATTTTACTCAAATAAAATCACATCTATGTAAGAGTTAGCGGAGAATTTGTATTAACAACTCCCGTTTTCCACGAAATAGAACATAAGAATCTGGAGTCTTAATCTTAAAAAACAAAGATCAACTGATATGACAAATAATACGATTAGCGTAGGACTGAGAGGGTCAGAGCTATATCAGAATGTGACCCCACCCCCGGTCTTGTTAGAGGTATCTGAAAATTAGAATTTTCTTTTCCATGAAATAAAACAAAAGAATCTGGACTTAATCAAAAGTGATGCGATTACGACTTCCATAGAATGTCAGAGACAGTTTGTCGACTAGTTCGTTGAAAATTCGGCTAGGCAAGTAAAGTATGTCTTGTAACAAAGCAGGGTTTATTCATATTCATATCACACTTACATGTTCTCGTCCTGATATGCATGTGCTATTTGCCACTGTACGTAAAACGCTCCCCTTTTCCCCGAAATAAAACAAAAGAATCTGGACTTAATCAAAAGCGATGCGATTACGATTTCCATAGAATGTCCGAGACAGTTTGTCGACTAGTTCGTTGAAAATTCGGCTAGGCAAGTAAAGTATGTCTTGTAACAAAGCAGGGTTTATTCATATTCATATCACACTTACATGTTCTCGTCCTGATATGCATGTGATATTTGCCACTGTACGTAAAACGCACCCTTTTCCCCGAAATAAAACCAAAAAATCTGGACTTAATCAAAACCGAAGCTATTTGGATTTCCATAGATTTTCAGAGTCGGTTTGTCAACTAGTTTGTTAAAAATTCGGCTAAGCAAGCAAAATATGTCTTGTACAGAGCCAAGATTTATTCATATTCATATTACACTTACATATTCTCGTCCTTATATGCATGTAATATTTGCCACTGTACACTAAATACAAATACATTTTCATCAATTCTTTTTTTATGAAAAGGAGCATATTTTAAGCACGTTCATCGATTTGACACCCAGTAGTTCATGTTTTTTGGGAGTACCTCGTAAATTATAACACATTCCTTCTTTATTTGCAAAATCGCCAAGTGACGGGTGCCACATATGAAACAGGATCTGCTTACTCTTCTGGAGCACCTGAGATCACCCCTTTTTTGAGGGTTTCGTGTTGCTCAGTTTTTGATTTTCTATATGTTGCGCTTAATATACTGTTGTTTGGCTTTTGATCTTTTTTCTCTCGTTTATTTCGTTTTATTTAAGGGAGCTACCATTTGATTTTTATTGGGGGGCTAGAATGAAATTTGAAAAAGGCAGGACAGGAGTTTTGAGTAAAAAAAGGCAGGATGAGCAACTTGGCAAAAAAAAAAGGCAGGATGACAATTTATGTAAAAAAAAGTCAGAATAAACTAATAAATAAAAAAAGCAGGACCGAATAGAGTGAAAAATAAAAAGGCAGGACAGAGATTACAACTAAAAAAAGGCAGGACAAAATTTTTCGTCCTAGCTACCCCCTCCCCCCCCCCCCCATAAAAATCACATGGTAGCTCCCTTAGATTCTCATATAGCTCAACACAATCGGTCTAGATCTAAAAAAATATACATATTTTGAGAGAGGAATGTTATTCATATGTAGTACTTTTCATCTTGATGAAGAAAATTATGAGATTTATCTGATTAAAACGACTATTTGTTTTTGAATTCAGAACGTTTTTTGCATATGTTTTTCAACTTTTCCATATAGGGGAGATAACTCGGATAACATTATTTTTTGTCGTTTTTTATTTTTTTTATTTTTTTGCTATGGCATTGTCAGTCTGTTTTCGACTTATGAGTTTGAAATCCCTTTGGAATATTTCGTCTCTAATGATGGAATGTGTAGGGACTTTATATATTTTGTTTTGTAGACAGAAAACGAGTCTCGTGATCCCAATTTTTATTTTTATTTTCTAACGTTGAGTTTTCCATGTATAGTTTATACAAAATCTGACAATACTGCATAACCTGTAGCTTGCAAAATGCTCTGTAGCCCAAACTTTTTATTATGTTTTTCAAAAAAGAATAAACTAAATTTTGGCAAATAATTAAAAAAAATCTACCGATTTTAATTTAGACCACACTTATGAAAACTATAAGAGAGAGAGAGAGAGAGAGAGAAACT